TCAAACAGATGGGTGCAACCAGAGCACAGGTCCTTCGCCTGCAGTGCTGTGCCCAAGTTAACACGCCCCAACCCTCAGCATAAGGAGCTGTAACATCTTCCAGACCAGAGCTGGCTTGTGTTCAGGGAGCAGGAGAGGTTCCTGGGTCTGCCTGCACCCCGCCGGGTAGTCATGAGCAAAACATGCCCTTGCGAGGACCGGCTAGCTTGGGGGAGGAGATGTCCCCATGTGTGGCTACGTGCTGGGTTTTAAGAAATAATTCTGTGTACTTTGTAAAGATGCCTTGATGCTAAAACTGCTCTCCAACACAAGGAGGCCCCAGAAGATGGTTAAGTGTTCTGTATTCATCCACAACAAAAGCCTCTGAAATCCTCCACAAATATTTGGAGATCAGATGAAGATGGGCTTCAAAGAGAATGCAAGATTCCTCCCCGTTAGTAGGTCACACCGAGAATCCCAAGTAGAACAACACCACATCTGTAGATAGACTGTGCTGTATCTATCTTTAGCCCACCCTCTCCCATGAGTCAGGAGTTGTGCATAATTCTGCTCATTGTTCAGACACTGGTTCAGGACGCGTGCCAGCCACCATGCAAAACCGGAGCAGAACACAATTATAGGAAAATTATCTCTGGTAGAATTACAATTGTACACCCTAAATCCTGCATGTTTCATTGATTCCTTGCCCTGTCCTGCCCCAGAACACTCAGACACCAATCAAATGCCGAATCTAAGCTTGTCATTTTCCAGTTCTCTGTATCCTTGCATCAGCTGGTAGCACGTTAAAGCATCCCAATTCCGTTGCCCGGAGCCGTATCTGGCAACGAGCTGGTGCCAGGCGTATGACACAGCAAACCCCCTCGGCCTTCGTAACGATGTTAGAAGAGATTAGCAAGGTGAGTTTATTGTGAGTCTTGTGATGAGCCTTAGTTTCATATTTATCTGAGAAGCATGACTCCTGATTTATGCTTCCACCCACCCCCCATCTAAGGACACTGTAAGACCATTCACATTTACCAAAAAAAAAAAAAAAAAGCACCCAAAGGTCAACAAAAAGAAAACAAATCAGCTAAAGTGCCCAAAGACAACAAAAAGAAACAACATTGAGACCAATTTATTGAAACTCACAGCGTTCAGAGGAAACCCCTCAGTGATTTTGAGAGTGCCTGGTCTTTTGGAAACTAAATGCAGGTAATCCTATGTCAAGTTGGCAACCTAACTTGGAATTTCAAAGGGATGGTAAATAAAAAGACTCCAAGTCTGCATTGCTGTGAGGGAAAAATCACAGCTTTCCGCCTTCTCTAAGACTACCTGATGTCAGTCACAGGTACAGATTTCTCCTCTAAAATAAGCTATTTAATATGGTATTTTGTACACGTTTGCATGAAAACTGGCTGCACATTCAGGCTCATATTCTTCTTTAAAAATCCCTAAACTAGTCAACACTTATTTACTTCTTTAGGTATTTTTGACTTTAAAAAACTATTTATTTATTCAAAGATTCATTTTCCTTTTGATCAGATACCAAAACACTGGTAATGAACAATTCTTCTCCCAGTTTACTTTCCAAAACTGGCAGGCACAGGCCGGCTCAGTTGTTAGCCTGATTCACAGCCATTTTATTATTCATGAACAGCTAATTTCCTGGAAGCAGCAAAGGATCATACACCATTTGACCTGGTAGCTACCGAAGAGCAGGAAAATAAAGCCTTTATGCAAAACAGATCATGCTAAACAGAAATAATTTATAACCAAATCATTTTTCAACCTGCCCTATTTTTATCCTGTAACTCAAAAGTCGCACAATCATGCTCTGTGGGGTAACCAAATCCACGTTTCAGACTAAAAAGTATGAGAGTCAGCAACTACGTAACGCTTCCCACTGGAAATCACACCATGCAACTTCTTCATTCTGCTTTACAGGTACCAGGTTCCGTTCAGCCACGCTTTCTCAACCTTTCAAACTTAATCACGCTTCCTCTGCATTTAACTGAATGGAAATAACATCCTGCACAACTCTAAGAAATACTCATTAGTGCTGTATCTGAGCCATCAATTCCTACACCCGTGGATCCAGCTTAAAAAGGGCGCAATGTAAATGGATTTCTGCCTAACGAGTTCTCACTACAAACCCGCCCATGGCAGAGCAGGACATTCAACAAACGAAATATTTAGAACCAGGGCATTTTCCGTTCTGCTACAGATACTTTACATATGTTTCTGCCCTGTTCCTATTTGCCATGACAGCTAAGGATCAATTTAATGAAACCAATACATAACACACATCCTTATTTTTATTAAACAGCTCAATGACCTGAAACCAGTATACCAGGTGTCAGAGTATTATTAGGCATCCTGCACGTCCCTTCTGACCTGAAACAGTGAGATCCTGTCTGGGATAACTCTTACACAAGCTGCTGCAAGCACGCAGCAGCTCCAGAGCCGTCGCATGTAACCAAGTCATTTTGAAATGTACTGAGCTCGCTCCCAAAGCAACTTACCCAGAATAAACCCAAATCTTCTTTTCAAACAGCTTAAAACATGACCAAGCGTTTATCCCTTTCTGCAGTCTCCTAACTCTATAGCCTGCTTGTGTATATACAAAGCTTCAGGAATCCCACATATTAACAAGTGATTCCCAAATATTCTAAAGCTGCATTATTAACCAAAGAATCAAAGCAAAGTGTACTGAGACATGCATCAACTTTACAGAAGATCATTTTAAGGAGATACGTGGAAAAACCATGATAGAATGGACTATTATATTTTTAAATGCAGAATCAGCACCTCCCTGTTTAAAAAGAACAACTCCCGTTTCTACAGAACGAAACAAAAAAAAAAGCTTTACGGAAGACTCACAACCTCCCTCGCTGCTAATTCCCAAAGCGGGTGTGGGAAGTGAGTCCCCTATGACTCTGCAGCTCTGACAGATGCAAAAAGCCCCGGAATAAAACCAACAAGAGGGTCAGAGAAGACAGCAGGAAATATATACTTTACCATCTCCTGGAATGATGCGCAGGGTAACGGTGTTTCCCGCTTCCTTAATGAGGTTGACGATGTCTGAATGCGACTTGTTGGTGATGGAGCACCCATTCACGGCCAAGATCCGATCGCCTACTTTCAGCTTGCCACAGCGGTCTGCGGGACTCCCTTCAATTATCCGACCTATTTTGTGAGGCATGGCCACACATGCATTTCCCGCTTTTGTATGGGTTTGGGGGTTGTTTTTGTTTGGTTTTGGTTTTTAATTGTTTACATACGTGGGAATATGGTTGAAGGGGAAAAGGAGAAAAAGGGTTGAAAAGGGAAGGTTAAGGGTTAATTAATTAATGCATCAAGCAAAAGTTATTATAGGATAGCTTTGCTGCCAGTGTTCAAAACATTGGCAATCGACTAGTATGAGTGCACAATACTTTACTTCTTTTACAAACAGGTGGGGTTTTAATCACTCGAAACTCCCCCCCACCTTGATTTCTGTTAATAAATGGTGAGATCTTTATAGAGTCCAACAGCACTTCACAGCCCCATCATAACCCAAATCCTGATTTTATTTTTGCACAAAAAAGTTGAAGCTGTTGGTAGAAGACACAACTTTCCTCCTCCAAGATTACAACAGGGTCTGCCTCTCCAGTCTTTCTCTAAGTCAACTGCTGTTCAAGCTTCTGCCAATGTTTTGTTCTTTCTCAATTTAGAAAGATAAAATTGTTCTAGGCCTTGGAGGGAGCGCGACTCCCCTTCTACCATGAAGACCCAATCTATCAGCGCTGCATGGGGAAGCAACATGAAACAGTTTTCTTCCATTGTGAGTCAAGGTACTACCAGGGAAGGTACAGGACCACTACAGATGGGCCAAGACTGACAAGGGTAACCTGTTTGGTGCAGGCATCCACCTCAGCCTCTGTTAACCCTTCCCCTTTTATGATCCGAGATGGCATCAGGACGGGAGCAGGGAAGGAATAAGGGATCTCCTCATTTAAATACCTCTAAAACCACACACAAAACCATTGAGATGTCTGACACGCAGAGCAAGAGCACTTCAGGTTGAATGTGTTTTGGAGACAAAATTTTCCTCCTGTTCAATGCAACTGTTTGTCCCAACAACACAGGGTCATCCATAAAACGCAGAATTGGGACACAGAGGATACACAACTTCACTCCGATCAATCCGCTTGGCTTTTGTACGGCTTCTTCCCATGGGCAAGAGGCCCTCAGGCACGCAGCACGGGATTAAAGCCACGAGTGGTCATCTCACACTTTGCATCCACAATACATTCACCCTCAAGATGCACTTTCCCATCTGTGCCGTAGCCTTCACTTGGTTAGTAGTTTTAGAGATACACGTTGCTGCAAACATGACAACACTAGAAAGACCATAAAGAAGAAAAGGCTAAGAAAAGGAATGTGAGGTGAGACAACAAGGTTGGAAAGATGCAATGAAAAAGTCACAGAAAGGGTTAATATTAGTTGCAAACGGTAGGGAGATTTTGGGGTTTTCCTCCTTTTACTGTGATGACCAAGTCTCTTTTTGGTAACACAAATCCCCACCCGGTCCAAAGGCCGTCTTGGAGGGTTTGAGGAATTCCTGCTCTCCAATCCACTGAACACCAGGTGACAGAGCCCACACCAAAGTGACCGAGGTGGGGTTTAGAACCAGTTTGGCCCATCTTGAAGTACTACCCACGAAAGACAAACGTCAAAGCAGGTCCAAAGCAAGCACCACACAGCGGAGGGAACACATCTCATGCAGAGTATTAGGGAAAAAAGCTGAATACGCTTGAAAGAATGTAAAGGAAAAACAGTCACATATCAACAGATCTCCATGAGGAGCCCCTGCACAGAAAACTTCCAGTTAGCGAGTATCCTGGGCTAAAGCAAATCCGACCCTTTACAACCTCGGGTCAAGGTTTCTCTGCAGAAAAGAGTTAGAGCACAGTCTTCATACAGTAAAAGTTATTGACACACACGTTTGCAAATACTTTCAGAAGATAAAAACGCGCTCTCTGGTTTAGACTAGGTCAGTTTAATCTATATTACATTGCACCACTGTGTTCTGGCCCCAAAATACCTGTTCTGGAAGAGCAATTTCCAGTAGCGAGGTCAGTGTGAGGTAGTCTAGCACCTGAGACCTGACAGAACTCAATGCACTGGGTCAATACTAGGTATTTCCCCTCTGAAATTTCTGCTGCCAGGGCTGCCCAGGACAGTGTTAGAAATGGCCCATTCCACACCGATACCAGCAAAGGAGGTGGTATTCCCTTGGAGTTATTTGCAAGGGCACTGTTGATGGGCAACAGCAGGAAATGACAGAGGAAAAAGCCGAGGGAAAAAAAGGGGAAAGGCCAATTCTTGCACCTGTGTGCCTCAGGAACACTCAAGCTGTACAAGGAGGCTGCAGTATATTTTGTCTACACACCACAACCCAGAGAGGTAGCGTGGAGATGGCCAGGGCACTCGTTCCATCCTTCCTTTCCCCCTCCATCCCCATCCCATGCCACAAACAGGGAAGGAACACCACCTTTTTCCCCTACAAAGTGGATGCTGCCTGTTCTTTCTGGAGGAGATGGAAAGGGAAGAACAGAGCATGTCTGACCAGTTTTCCCCCTCGCAAAAACATTTCCGCTCTAGAGCAGGCTGTTCTGTGCATGCTCGCAGAACCAGCTTGTTTACACCTCCTTCGCAGCAACACCTGGAAATGGGTATCAGCCTAGCAGAAAGGACTGTGTTCAGAAAGAAACCACGATCAGGATGGTTACTTAGGGCAGGATATTAAGCGTGACATCGCATGAGCTTCATTTCCCCCTGCTCTGAAGGAATGGACTTGGGAAGAGGTGGAGTGGGTCAAAAACCAGCTTGTTTTTTTCACAGTATTCTCCGTTTTATGTCTCATCAGCAAGCACTACTAATTAAAACTTTCCAGCTATCAGCATGTTCACTCCATAATGAGGATCAGAATAACCCTGAATGCCAAAGAGGAGTTAATCAGTTTAAGCATTACTGCTTTTAAATCAACTGGCTCGATTCCACCATCAGCAGACATATTTCATTCCACCTGCTCCATTTCTGCCTTAGCAAACAACATCACTGAGGGGATCTCCAGCAGTTCTGAGAGCAAACCCCAGAAAGGCAGCCAGCTAGCGGGGACAGCCGGGGCTTCAGGGAGAATCGGGAATTGCCACTGGTGGCATTTTTTCTCTTCAGGTTGGGGTTCTCATTTTGCTTTTCTTAGTGCTGAACAAAACCCAGGAGGCAAACACCTACCAAGTGTTGGCCTCCAATTAAGCTATTAATTACATAAATTAGGGCACACTCACGACATTTAATTAAACAGATCCCCCCTCGCCTCCTTGCGCTGCAGCGCTCAAGTCTGCGTCTCGTTCGAGGCGCGTCAAAAAAACCCCGCGACTTACCGAACGTCGTCCCCGCCTCCGGCCTGCTCACCG